CTCGGGTCCTGACTGTGGGATTCTCACAAGCCTCTGGTTAGCAACTGTGGGAACAAAGGCTTGACTGATTTTCCAGGGCCACTCTCTCTGTCTCTTTTTTAATTAGAAGACTACATTGAAGGCCTGTTGTTTGTCAAAGAAGTGAGGTTTAAATATTTTATGTAAAACAAGCCCTTCCAATAGGCTATTACACACTTCTGACCTCTCTTGAAGGTTATTTCACAGCCTTGGGCCAATTGCACAGAAGCCCTGCTGATTGTTGTTAACATTTTCACCAACAGTAACATGAAATATGGTGTAGTCTTGAGTTTGATCTGATTATTTCAACCAGAACAGGTGTTCAATGGGAGAGTTGTTCTGCAAAATATATTGGACACAAGCAATGAAGTGTTTTAACGATAAGCACAAGTGTGTTGAACAGAACCTGGAACTTCATGGGCAGCCAGTGCAGCTGCTATATAGCAGGCACAGGGCCAAAACAGATGTACATGTTCTGCATGCACATGAACACTTGCACAGACATCTACAGAGGGGTTGCTACTTTGTGGCAGTTACTGGATGCTCCCCTTCAAGACCCCCAACTCAATTTACTGCTATTATTAGTGGTGCTTAAAGCAGTAATCTGGACTGCTTCAGGTCACTTGGGAAGGTTGGAGGCTGCAACCCTCTCCCTGCTTGAGAAACCCCAATCTGACTTCTGTTTTACCATCTCTGTCCAGCCTACCTCAGTGCTGCAGCAGGAAATAGGAGGCAGATGTAGCTCCTTCCCTGCCCCACCCATGCCAACTTAATTGCAGTAGTAAAGTGGCTATCTGGGTTGATCTTCGCAGGAATGGGAGAAGGTAGCTTCTTTTCCATTTTCCCCAACCTATTTTTGCAATTCTTCTTGGCAATACACCACCATAATGATGGCTTTTGACAGTGGCTGGAGGTTTTGGGATTCACTCTAAGGCTGTGCGAACCTTCTATGAAAGTCAATTATGAATTAAAAATGATTAGTAAAAATCATCATCTTGCCTAAATGTATGTTATACAATATGGTAACAGAGGTGTCACAAAAATTAAGAGCAGGTACAGACAGGGTAGATTCCACTGAGGTGGATGATGTGGTGAAGAAGGCAGGAAGGATGATGTCCTGGGTGAGATAGGAGTAGAATACCTTGGGTCTGAAGACTGGGTTTGGGTGGAGGACTGCCTTATGTTTGTGGAAGTTTAGGTCTACCCAGAGAGCACAGAATTTGCTAGCATGGTGGGGTAATATGATGGCCACTAGGAAGGCTACCTTCCAGAAGAGGAGGTGCAGGTAGTTTGTAGCCAGAGGTTCAAAGGGTCTCCTGGCGAGGGCCTGCAACATGACCAACTGCTGCCATATGGGGATGCAGGGTCAAGTGGAGGGGTTGATGGTGTGCAGTCCTCTCAGGAATCTGCAGACTAGTAGGTGTGCAAATACAGATGCCCCTTTGCTGGGTGGAAGGAGGAGATAACCGCTGGGTACATGCGGATCAAGGAAAGATTGAGGCTTTCCTGGAAGTGCATTTGTAGAAAATATTTGTTCAATGGTGGACCTTTTCAGGTCAAAACCTTGCTGACATGCAAAGGCTGTGAAGGTGTTCTGTTTTACCACACAGGATTTCTTTTGTGGACAGTTTTAGGGCTGCATCCCATATGGATAATACCTCAGGTGGCAGGGTCACCCTCCTCACCCTATTCCAGGGGACAATCCTCCAGGCTGTGAAGTGCAGTGTCCTGACAACTGGGTGAAGGACTTGACCCTGGCCCTGTGAGATTAGACCCTGGGGGTGTGGGAGGCAGCTTAAGTTCTCCTGGGAGAGATGGAGAAATCAGGAGAATGACAGTTGGCTCGGCCACCATAGGTGATGAGAATTCAGTCCTTCCGGATTTTGGCAATCACCTTGGTGATCATTGGGAAAGGTGGGAAGATGCGGAACAGGGTCCTGCTCCATCTGAGGAAGAAAGTGTTCCCCAGGGTGCTGGTCTCCTGTCCTACCCTAGAGCAGAACTGGGTGCATGTTGTGTTGTGAGCTGTGACAAAGGGATCCACTGATGGCATCCCCCAGCTGTTGTGGAAGTCTGTCTTGTTCAGTTGCATCTTGAGTGAGTTCAGACTTGTATGGCTAAGGGTGTCTGCTAGAATATTGTTCTTGCCTGCCCCACGAATGGCCATGATTTTCATGTCTCTGGCAGTGCACCAGTCCCAGATGGTTATGGCCAGTTTGGACATATGAACCATGTAACTCCCTGTTTGTTGATATAATACATCACAATGGTGTTGCCTGTGGCGATCTGCACATGCTAGCCATGCAGGGAGGTCTGGAAGGAGATTAGTGCCTTGTAGACAGCCATCTTTGTAGATATTTTTTAAAGTAAATCATGAAAAAAGAGGGCAAGGATTGCCAAAGGGACAGAGATTTGTGTAGGTGGAGGGGGAGGGAACGTGAAATAGAATACTAAGTAGGAGGAGGAAGAAGCAATTCCCAATCTAGGCATGATGGTGGTTGAAAAGGAACTGAGGGGATGGGCAGGAGCCACTCTCCATACTTCCTGGGAACAGGAAGGGGAGGGGTCCCTGCCCAATTGAACTTAGCTATAGAAGCTTCCTGACAATTGGTTCTGAGCAGGCACAAAGCCCATTTGTGTGATGCACAGAGACCGCAAAGAAGAAGTAACACTTCCAAATGTATCTATAAATTATTAACTGCACTGCAGTGATAGCTCTGTTGTCATTGATAGGAGAAAGGTACTGGAGTTTCTCCAACTTCTTAAGAAAAGCTATTGGCAAGAGGAAAAGAAAAGAAAAGGCAACGAAATGGGTTGTGAGTCATGTTAAAATAGAGAGGACTACTTGTACTATTCCAGTCATTTGTAGCCTCTGCTCATTACTATCAATATTTTACTGTTTAGTGGAATACTTTGTGGTTTGCTCGCATTTGAAAGAAATAACTTGACTAAATTTATGAAATAAAATGGAATAAGATGCAAGAACATTGTCCGCATTTTCCCACTTGGTTCTAGTATTTGCAAAAAAGAGAGAAAACTAATAAGGATGCAAAGAGATCAACTAGTCACTAATAATCTAACTGGCTTTAAGAAAAATGTAATGCAACTGAAAAAGTGAAATGTTCTCATATAAAATACTTAACATATTAAGTATGTTAATATGTGGTGAGGTTCCAGTGAGAGCCAGTGTGGTGTAGTGGTTAAGAGAATGGGACTGGGACTCAGACGATCTGGGTTCTAGTCCCCGCTCAGCCATGGAGCCAACTGGGTGACTTTGGGCCAGTCACAGACTCTTAGCCCAACCTACCTCAC